ATCAGCGTGACTCAGGTGCAATGAACTGCAAAGATCTCCTGGTCATTGTGTGGGGAGCACTGGACACTACAAATGATGTTATGTGTGGCATAAATGTGGTGTACTTTTGAAATCAAAGCCTCACAAATTAATCATAAGAGGTTGAACCAGTCATGCCCATGCTAACATTAGATGCAAGCCACCTTATAAATCCTGACACAGCTTTCTAGACTCCTTCAAGGACTTAGACCTCACTCTGTGACGGTTCCTAAAACAACAAAACGTAGCAATTATTTATAAAAAAGGAAAGCAGATGTCCATCATGTCTACCACATTTGGCAGGTAGTAACATGGTCAGACCTATAGAATAACAGTCCTGGGTGGAGACTCTTAAACCCCCCACTGTCATTAGACTGATGGGCTTAATTTCGGGCCACTCCTACATGCTAAATCAAAGGGTTGAGTGAAGTCCGACCACATATGGCTAGAAGCACTCGTGTCACCACAGAATGAGAAACATGCACGCTGCTTTATGCCATGGGGGAGTGGAATATGATGGTGTCTGAAATAAAAAAATAAGTCTCTGATGTTATTTAAACAGGGTGTGTTTAACCAGACTGATGTCATTATTTCAGGACCCTCTAACCCTCAGCCATATGTTCTTGTCTCAGTGGTGTTGTTAGTGCTGCCTACACACCAGCAGGAGTGTGAGAGTACATAAGTGTGCTGTCAGCCTGTCTGTCACACACTCACTAAAGCACTTACTTCAATGAGTACGGTGCAGGTGTAAGATAATGAGATCAGTTGAGACTTTTATAAGGTCTTAGTTCAGACATGTTCTGGCAGTTATGGACTGAAGCAAGTACCTGGAGCTAATTTGGGATGGAAACTGTTAAATCCTGTTAATAATCAAATCACTATGATGATGACTTGTTTATATTATTTAGCTATTTTTTTATCTACATTTTTCAAGCTTGCTCAAGCTTGAATACATCAGCTGTATCAAAGTTTTGATGAGTTCAAGAGCAATTTAAGTAAGTTTTTATTGAAAAATTTGAATTTGGGCAACATTGGTTATTGAAATGAAAGTACTTTAAATTCCATTTAATTTCAAGCAAAAAGTATAGGAAATTCTGATTATAATGGCGTCTAACTTAAAGATGACACCAAATAAACTCTAAATACAGCAATAAGTTTGAAGTGGAGGGTAGAAATAGATATTACAATTTTGCTGTCACTTACAGACCGCAGGTGAGTTTTGTATTAGCTTTAGCATTTATTAATTTTAATGCAGGTATGTTGTGAGAGAGGTTGTGTAGGTATTATTTTGTGAATTATGAAATACCATTATCGTGCCTTTTTCAATGTTTTAATATGAACATCAGAGCACTTTATGTAGAAAGATTTGAGTATTTTTTGCCCAATTTCCATATAGTTGTGAGGGCAATCCATTAGTATGACAATATGGTTTTGTGAAATTTTGCGGCATGCACATCTGAGTGAAGAAAATATATATTACGTCTATTTTATGGAAGTCAACACATTTATTTCATTGAGGGCCATCAATCAACAACAGGTTCACACTGACATTGTTTGCTTTGGATGGTTGGCTTGCTTGTTCCCTAAAATCAGATCAAATCAGCTTTTGAGTTCACAAGAATGCTGAGCCAGTGCCAGATGATTTTTCTTTAATTGTCGTGTTCAGAATGTCCTTCAGTGCTCAGGTCTCAAGAATGTTCTACCTGTGGTCATAGATTATTGCAGGATTTGATCTGAAAATGAGACTGTAGCCAGCGGCTTTTGTGTTTCACAGTACCTCACAACAGAGACGTCGACCCTGCTTTTGTCTCTGGAGTATTTCTGGCTCTCCTCATAACCATACTTTACAGAGCCACCAATTTCATAACTCAAATTAAACATTACATGCCGAAAGAATACGTTTTTGGCATTCCGACACAAACAACAGCATTCCTAAGCGAAGCCAGATGCATAGAGAAAATTCCATTTCAGAGAATGTTTTGCATTATGAAAGCCAAAAGGCTACTTTTATGCGAAACGATTGATTTTTATTTTCAAATGTTCCTGCTGGGGACTATGCCAAGTTAGTGGCTTTTTCCATCAGTGTCATTATGACTTTTTGTGTCGTAATTATAGGTTATTAATGATCCTCTCGTAACCAAAGCAAACTTTGAATCGGGTACAACACAACCCATGAACAAAGTTGACAGAAATGTACCGCTGTTTGATTTCTTTCCACCCTTCGCCCACTCTCTGTTTCATGCAACTGGCCTACTCTAATCATTGCAGAAGTCTTCTGTCTGTAAATTTTTGCATTTTTACTGCTTTAGTCTCCAATTATTTCCAAGCCTGGCGACCTGAATGACTTTCCTGGAGTCTGGGAATCTGACCCCAGAGGACTGCAGCCGGGACGGGTTGTTAGTGGAGGTGCTAATTGGCTCTGAGGGGTTATGAAGGTCCAGTATCAGATGAAGTGAGATGCAGACCAAAGCCTGGACAGAGGGTGCCGTCGTGGGGGGTAAGCAGGGCAATGGGGCTTTCAGTGGATAATTGAGCAAGCCCCCACAAACTGTGTAATCCTGATGGTCCTGACAAGTACGTTTTAGGACAAGGTCATACTGAGGCCTAAATGGGCAATTTTAACAGCAGTATAGAATAGACTTCAGTTGAACATTGAAATGCTGAAAATGTAACACTTTTGTCTTTATATTTTGTTACTATCAACTAATCCTTCACTTAGTCTGGAAAATGGTACAAGATGGTAAACTCACCACATGTTTATTTTCTTTTGGTTTCAGATGTTTTATTTCAAACCATTTGAAAGAAACTTACCATAAAAACTCTTTAAAAATGCGCTGACTGGATGAGTAGACTGAATCAAGCTTGTGTGTCACTCAACAGCATATGCGTCCACATGAGTATAGTGTACATAGTGTGCATGTTTAAGAAGACATATGGCCCCATTAACAAGATCTCCGTGCTGACAGCAGCCACTAAAACAGGAACATGAGGTCTTCTAATGGATTACAGAGAAACTGAGATATGTGATATGAGATCTATTTAGATCCCCTTGACCTCGATTTGGGGTCAGAGTTTTGGTATCAAACAATAAAGACATTTTGTCATATTACACGCTTTCTAATTCAACTAAATGTTTTTTTTATCTAATCAAAGAATCCTGAAAAAAATATCATGGTTTCTACAAAAAATATTGAGCAGTTCAGCTGTTTTTAACATCGATAATAATACATATAGAAGTGTTATTTGAGCACCAAGTTATTAGAATGATTTCTGAAGGATCATGTGACAGTAATGACTGCTGAAAATTCCGCTTTGCCATGACAGGAATAAATTACATTTTAAAATTATTAAATGCATTAAAAGTTGTTTTAAATCGTAATAATATTTCACAATGTTTTTACTGTATTTTTGATCAAAAAGTTAGACTTCTTTCAAAAACATTTATGAAACTTACCGACCCCAAACTTTAAATGGTAGTTTATATAATTTAGTAAACACAAGAATTATGCTTTAGGAGAGCATTTTTACTTATACATGCAAATAGTGTGGCACATATTGAAAGATGTTACATTGCGGACACCATCAGTCTGGAACTCTATGTTGTACAGTAGTTCGTGTTCTGCATATCACCTTCCGTTCAGTTGTGATTTATCTGTGCCAAAACTATTCATGATTTATGACTTCTTGCTCCGAGGATGAGAAGAGAATGCATCGATCTTTGTCTATGAATATCTCATTCTTTTACTCACCCTCATACTGAGAAAGTTGAAGATGAGCTGAGAAGTATAGCAGCTCTGTGTTGCTGGGTAAGTTATTTATTCAGCAGACAGACACAGCCAGTGCACAACAGATAGCGGTGTACCTTAATGTGCAAATGAAAATACTGTCATAATTTACTCACCCTCATATCATTCCATGACTGCCTTTTTTGCTTGAAACACAAAAGGAAATGTGTAGCTTTCGGAGTTGTTCTATTCAACACAATAAAAGTGAATGGAGACCAGCTCCAAAAAGGCATAAAAGCACCATAAAAGCCAAGTCCATGTGACTTATGCACTATATTCTTTAAGTCTTCGAAAGCCATATGATAGTTTGTGTGAGAAACCGACCAAAATTTAGTTAATTCACTAAAAATCTAGCTTTACCGCTGTGGCCACTATTCACTTTCATTGCATGGTACAGAGCAGCTTTCACATTCTGCCAAAAAATATTTGATTTTGTGTTCCAAAGAAAGTAAGTCATACAGGTATTAAAAGACATGAGGGTGAGTAAATTATGGGTTATCGTGTTTTGGATGAACTTTCCATTTAAATGGATAGTTCACCCAGAAATCCAAATTCTGTCATTATTTACTCACCCTCAAGTTGTTCCAAACCTGTAGGAATTTCTTTCTTCTGCTGAATTTAAAAATATATATTTTGAAGAAGCTGGGTAACCAAACAGTTTCTGGTCCCCATTTTTCACACTATTGAAGTCAATGGGGACCAACAAATGTTTGGTTGCCCACATTCTTTAAAATATCTTTTTATATTCAATAGAAGAAAAAAACCCATAACGGTTTGGAACAACGTGAGGGTGAGTAAATGATGACAGAATTTTAGTTTCTGGGTGAACTATCCATTTAACACAGGAAGCACAGCACTGATTCCAGCGTGCCATCTGGAGTGGAGGTTAAAAAGAACACCCTTGTTTGAGATGAAAGAATGTCTCCTCCTTTTTAGCCACTACTGTACCACAGAAGGAGTTGCATTAAGAGACCGTTTCTCTCTCAAAACCCTCATAGCGGATGTCATCTAGCTCCCATGCGGATTTCCAGTGTTGATACATCTCAGCTGCTGAATCTGCTCTATTTCAAAATACAGTTTTTCACTGAATGCGCTAAAACATTTTGTTTTGTCTGCATTGCTCTCTAAGCTTATGATTTCATAAATAACAGATGTTTTATGTAAGCAGCTCACTCTGACACTCAATTTTCTTTACAGGAGAATCCACTTTTGTTGACGACCACGGGCCTCCTACACCAAGGGTAAGTTGTTTTTTGCAATATCAAACTTGTTTTCTGTCTCTTGTTTTCCTCCAATTCCAAATGTACTTCACAAAATATCCCTGTCTTCAATTGTCCTGTTATTTTGGCCTTCTCACACTAGAGGAAATCATTTCAAGACTTGGTGTTTATTGTAGACTTATTTCCTCAGATTTGACAGTAATGGAAGGTCACAGACACACACACACATTCACACATTCACATTTAATAATCAGATGAAATGGTTTGACGAATGCAGCTTTATTTCCTGTGTTGATGTGTTTGCTAATGAAAGAGGAAGTTTAAAGGGGTCATATGATGCGATTTAAATTTTTCCTTTCTCTTTGGAGTGTTACAAGCTCTTGGTGCATAAAGAAGATCTGTAAAGTTGCAAACACTAAAGTCTCAAAACCAAATAGATATTCTTTATAAAAGTTAAGAGTCAACCACGCCTACCTAAAACGGCTCATTCTAACACGCCCCCACATACCTACGTCACGATCTGGGAAGATTTGCATAAAGCTGCCCAAATGTTCACGCAACGAAAGAAGGCGTAACTTTTTTTATTCTCGCTGTAGTATTGTTGACGCTGCAGCCATGTCCTGAAGACGCTGTGTGCTTCGTTGTGAAAGCGAAACTACCTTTTTTGTTCTTCCAAAAGAGGACGATATCCATTTCGTCATGCCTAGAGCTGATCTGTGCTGGTCGCTGAGGAAATACATCAACTTCGTAGAGTAGCGCTTGTTGTTTGTCATTTCTCCGATCACAAATGCAGACAGAGTTTTATGTTTACGCGGCGCGATGCAATGCAACACGTAAAAAGACAGTATAAGTCATTATAATCAGTAATTATGTCCCCACTGGATGCAACAAATGCCTCATTTGTAATGGGTTTTAATGTTTATGTCTCGTCGCTCCGGCCGGGACACGGCATCAACAGAATGTGAGGGGCGTAACATTTCCGTCTCACGTTTGCGGTATTCGGGCAATCACAACGCATTGGATAGCTGGCCAATCACAGCACACCTCGCTTTTTCAGACCGATGAGCTTTGTAAAAATCGGCGCGTTTCAAAAAGGCGTAGAGGAGAAACAATAATGTGTTGTTTTTTTTTACTTTAAACCACATAAACACATTTCATTACACCAAATACACAAAATAATGTTCTTTTTAGCAACATATGACCCCTTTAAGTGGTACAAATTGTAGAGAGTTTTATTAGTCACTGCCTGGTAAAAACATGCAAAATTAAAAATCAATTCATAAATAAAATATATTTGCTCAATTTGTCTGGAAGAAAAAATATATATATTTATTTTATTGTATTTTATCAACTTTTGGAGTAAGCTAGCATATGACAGACATAGACTAAAAGCCCCAAAATACTTAGAAAATTTATATATTTTATTTTTTTTATTTTTTAAATTGTCAGGGTCAACAAAGGGTTAACTCAACACACACTCATGACAGTTTATCTCATCAGCACTTCCTACAGAGGAACGACAGCTCTGTTTGCTGATGAACAGATTAGAGAGAGAAAGCGTGAAATGGCATGAGTGGAAATAACAAACTTAATTTACAAGGAGTGTCATTACACGCACTCTGCAAAACAGGTTAAACCCAGTGACAGTTTCAGCTGGGTTTACTCAGAGGATGAAAGATGAAACTGCTTCTTAATAGTAGGGTTGAAGCCATCACTGTGGTTTGTCTATAGTTTTTATAGAGACTTGTTGAAAAACGAGTCATTAGATGTGTTATAGGACACAGTTGTTTTAAGATGAGAGTCTTGAAGCACTTGTTACATATGCAAAACTCACTCGGTTTAAATTCCTTGTAGATTTTAAATTATTTATCACTGTGATTGTAATCAGTGTTTTGTGGTTAAAAATATCTCTGGAGAATATCTTCTCTGCACTACATGTGCTATTTTCCATCTCTTTGTTTTTTGTGTCTTTTCTGTGAAATGGGTTCAAATGATTCAGAGACTCTGGAATGCTGGAATGATTCATTGACTGTATTGAGAACTGTGTGCAAGTGCACTTGCATATGACAGAAGAGTCCAGAAGAGAGCTGGAGAGGAGGGTCCACCCATAAAAATACTCTTGTGAATTTTAGCTATAGCTCTGTACAAATGTAAACTGTACAAACAATGTTTTATTGTTTCTAACTAGAGGGAAGTTTTGACATTTCCTGTATTGAATAAACACTCGAGAGACCTCAATGCCACTGTAAAATACATTTTTATTTACAATTTATGTAATATCCTGCCTCACGTGAGCAGTGCTGTAAATACACCATCTGGTTTGTTAAAACAATTTCTGACAATCATAGCAAATTGTTTTAGAAAGTGTTTAGCAATGTCAAAGGGAAAGTTTTGTAGTATTATATTTTATAGGATCTTCTCTAAACAAGCTAGACTTGGAGTAACAATGGATTTGTGAGTGTGTACGCATTGCAGAGTGTGTGTGTGTATATACTTTATATGTGTGTGTGTATAGACAGAATCACCTCACAAGTGATAATAACAAAACATTTATAAGATGTCTCACCCTAGAGACAGATGTGCACAAGAATGTGGTTGAAACCACATGTGTATATCTAAAAAATGTATATATAAAATTTTACAGCTAAGACTAAAACAGTTGGAAAATATGACTTCCTGAATTTGAAAGTAATGTAATCAAAGTCCAGTTCAATGTGTGCATGTGTATAAATCATCCCTCTTTCTACCAGGGCTATTTTTGTTCACTATAAAAAGATATACCTGTCTATATAAATCTTCACTATTTTCCTAAGTAATCATGTTTAGTGGGGATCTGTACAGTTTGGGAAAGCCTTTGGTAGCTGAAACCCCCGCAGTTACTAAGACCCCAAGCCAGCAATGATGACAACCAGTTTTAACATCTCACAGCTGTTGACACAACCATTCAAATGTTTGAGGTCATTTAAACGTTTTTAATGTTTCTGAAATGATCTCTTACTCTAGCTCACCAAGGTTGCATTTGTTTGATCATAAATACAGTAAAAGCAGAACTTTTTGAAATATTATTACTATTAAAAATTACTTTTTTTTTAATGTAATTTATTTCTATAATGGCAAAGCTGAATATTCAGCAGCCATTACACCAGTAATACAGTAATCCTTCAGAAGTCATCCTAATTTTGTGACCCTGATTTTGTGTTCAAAACACATTTCATGCTATCAAAACTTTTTGTGCCATTAATTCAGGATTCATTTTGATGAATAGAAAGTTGAGAAGAACGCCTTTTATTTGAGATAGATAGATAGATAGATAGATAGATAGATAGATAGATAGATAGATGGTGTATACAGATGGACATTTCCTCAGAGTAATAATGAGCTAAGAGATTTTACGTAGAAATGACCAGAGAAGGAGGGAAATAGAGATTGAGTGAAGGAAAACGGGATGGGGGAGAATTAGCAAGGCAGCTGGGCTCACACAAGGCCTCTTATGTGTGTGTGCTCATGAGGTGAAAAGGGAGCATTCTCTGTGAACTTGAACCGTATTTGTTGTTTTGGGAGAGTGCTGTACCACACTATGGAGTGTAATACGGAGAGAGAATAAATAATGAAAGGCATGAGGGGCTCTTGTTTAGCTAGTGTTTACAGACCTGAATAAAAGTAAGGGTGACTGTTGTAGTCAAGTTAAAAACCTTATCACACATTCAAACAAATACACAAAACATCGTGCCTCACTGTTTTTGACACAAATGTTTTCTCTCAGGAGTATTTCTCATACAAACACACACACACAGGGGACAAAGAAGCAGTTCAAACCCCAATTTCATCTAGGATGCTGGCCTACAGGGAATTCCATTCTTCCTTCCACACTGGATGTTCATCCAGGAATTTACAAATTTCCTCCAACTCTCTCTTAAAGAATTATTCTTAAGGTTGTGTGGAGTAGAACTGTCTGGAAACGGGAAGCTTTTAGTTCCACACCTGAGCTACAGTATCACCATTGTGTCGTTGAGTGGGACACTTAAAGGGATAGTTCTCCCAAAAATGACATTTCTGTCATTATTACTCACCCTCATTTCATTCCAAACCTGTAAGACCTTCGTTCATCTTCAGAACACAAATTATAAGATAATTTTGATGAAATCCGAAAGCTTTCTGACCTTCCATAGACAGCAAGGGTACTACCACGATCAAGGTCCAGAAGGTTAGTATGGAAGGTTAATATGCGCAAAGAAAACAAAAATAATGACAACAAGTCATGCGTGTGGTGCTGCTAATGTAGAACACGCATGCGCTGAGCCTGCGTCGCATGTGTCGTGATACTCTCCAAAATGGCGCTAGGGTGACGAGTTTTCTTTGCACACAAAAAGTATCCTCATAGCTTCGTAAAATTACGGTTGAACCACTGATGTCACGTGGACTATTTTAACAATGTCCTTACTGTGTTTCTATACCCTTGAAGAAAGAAATTCATACAGGGTTGGAATTTTAATTTTTAATGAGCTATCCCTTTAAATACTTAGTAAAAACAGGAATTATTATTCATAAATATTTAAAAATACATGTTACAGACCTTCCTAAAGCTCTTTCTTTCCCTCTCTCTCTCTCTCTCTCTCTCTCTCTCTCTCTCTTTCTTTGTAATTGTGTCCACTAATTTATTTAGATCACTTTCGCCATCACCCAGCATCCAACAGCAATTGAACACAATATAAAAATGTTTGTCATTTAGAATTGGCCAGACTTTCAATATTGTTCATTTCCCCCTTTTTTTTGTTTTGTTCTTCCTAATACCTATGTATTTCTATGTCTGTGTGTCTAGGAGCTGCCATTCCCAAGTCAGGTGATCTACAACAGGGTTGGCAAGTGTGGAAGTCGAACAGTTGTCCTGCTGCTGAGGATTCTGGCAGAAAAGCACCAGTTTAACCTGGTGTCCTCTGACATCCATAACAAAACCAGACTCACAAAGCATGAGCAGGTCAGTGTGTGTGTATGAGGCAACTAATGCTTCTGAGAAATTGTATAGCAAACAAAAAGTATAGCAAAATAAAAAGCATACTATGATGAAAACTGATGTGATTAAATAAAGGTGTTTGCTAAGGGAAATGCTTGCTGAATGCCAGCAGCAATGAAATACATCCGAATGGCACTCATTGGGGAGAAAAATACACACTTTCCTCCCTTGCGGAGAGGAAAACGAAAACATTCTGTCATCCCGTTTGGGTCGAGTCAAACCGTCACACCTCCACACCGCTAAAATCAACCTATGAAAAGTTTAAATAAATAAGCTGATTAAATATCGCTCATATACGTTTGTTGAGCGGGAGAGGGAAATAAGTGACTAACGTGAAAATGAAGAACTTTTTGACTGGAAATCTGTCCATATCCCGGAGTGTACACATAATTCTGTCTGGATATTATGGGACCTTTTTGAATAAAATGATTTTGTGAGTGATACATTATTCATAGGTTTTAGAGAGTAAACTGGTTAGATGTACAGTAAATACTCAAAGCTAATATTAAATGTGTGTGTTTACAGTGGTAAGCTCTGAACACATACAGGTTTCATTGCCATCAGAAAAACTAACTGGTGTGTGTCCAGACAGATAGAGCTGACAGAAAAAGCTGCATGATTGTAATAAGCAAATCCATCAATAAGAAATTTTTAACTTTGAGCTAAAATAGAGTTCTCAATCTATATAATTAATTTCTCCAGTAAAAACGTTTGACTGATGGAGCAAGTTTTTTTAAATAAACGGATTAAATTACTTAATAAACAAGTATTTGACATCTTGTTTTGATTGGATTATTGATACAGACGTCAAGTTTAATCATCTAATAAACCATTGACAATGCTTGGAAAATTAAATTATCCCGTAGGCTTTGTCCATAATTAACATAACTTTCCTTGTGCGCATTAAGTGCATTTCCAGTACTTGTTTTCTCTGGCAGATAGCTGTGATTGTGACTGATTACCTATTTGTGGCCTTGGCGCATCTGCACAGTCTCCTAAACAAATGCAAATTTCACTGCAGGATAAGGGTCATAAAACTCTAATTTAGAGAAGAAAGTTTATTTGTGTGTAGAGAGGGAATGTTCAGTCTGTTTTTAACCGACCTTTCAAGACAAGAACAAATTAACCTCCTCTACATTCATAATCTTCACATTGTTATGTGATTGTGTAGAACAAGGTTTTGTTATCAAACGGATAGATTACACAAAAATGAAAGTCTGTCAACTGCCAATTAATATAACTTACTCACCCTCATTTTGTTGCAACCTGTATGGCTTTCCCTCCATGGAACTCAAATGGAAAAGTTCTGAAGATTCTGCTGTTACAATAAATGGAGACCATCATAAACGTGGTCCATACGATATGTTGGTCTTTAGTGTTACTTTCGGTCATTGTAAGGCAGATGTGTCTAAAATAAATTCCACAAGTGACCTGACTTGTGTAACAGTAAGCAAAATAAAGCATCGGACTCTTGTGTTCCGTTATGTCATTCTAATAAGATATTTTTAATTAGCCTCAATGCACCAAACCACTAACTGTTTACCCAACCTGAGGTGTAACTTATGATGTGATTCAACCAACACCTCTTTTATCATTACTTAGTACAGTGTATGGTCATCTGTGTGCCCATATAACCGTTTATGGAACAGGACATTTTCTCATTAAGATGATGTCACTACCTCAGGTTGTTACAGACTTTGTGTGTTTTGGCTTTGACGCAGCGTTTGATAAAGGATCGAAGCTTGAGCAGAGCACTTGTTACAGTGTTGTTAGCTGTTTGATAGAGATGTGGGCCAAGCAACATGAAGAGGTTTAGGCTTTAGTATGAAATCTGAATTCTGAGGGTGGTCTTTCCCAAACTGGAAACTTCTGGAACCTATTGTTGAGCGCTACAGGAAGCTGCGCTCTACACACCGTCCTGGCACACCAGACCAACATTACGCCATCCCGTTCTTCATATGGCGATCCGTTATAGGAATTGTTAAGTCTCCTTATGCCTGTGTGTGCATGTTTTTAGAGACTGTAACATGCATTTAGGGACACATGGGCTCTATCAGAGCTGACTGGGGCCCCAGCTGGCCCTCATTAGGAAACATTAAGGTAATGAGAAGTCAGGCTCATCAGATGACCTAATAACTTTCCACTGCACCATGCACTATCCAAGTGAGGAATGTTTTCTTGGTGTGTGTGATTCTGAAACTTGGAGAGACGAGGTCTGTTTGCAGTGTGTTTGCATTTCTGGTTTAATTTTTTTTAATGGATCCACCTAGGGCTGCCACTAACGACTATTTTTATTTAGATTAATCTATCGACTCATTTATCGATTAATCTAAATGATTAATTTCCGACCAGAAAAATCAACTATTTTACTGTTTAATTTTACAAATTTTTATGCAATCCTTTTTTAAAAGCAAAAGTAAAGTGCAAGAAGCAAGTGTCCATCTCATAGTCCAAATCACTGAAATCAAAGTTCAGTATTATAGTGTAAGAATGACAACACATCCACATGTTATAGTCTACTAATAATACAATTATAATAAAAAACACTTTTTAAAGGAGTATTTACCAGAAATGTTATTTACCAGAATTTATTTAGGAGAAAAATTTAAATGTGCAGTATTTCTGAAAAAAAAGAAAAAAAAAAACACTTAAAAAAATTTTTTTTTTTTATAAAATCAATTAATTGGAGATGCTTTTGAGTATTACAATTTAATGGAACCATTAAAATGGAATCCAGAAAATAATGGAAAACAGAATTTGGTAAAGATAAAACTGTAAAACTCAATTAATTAGACAGGCTTTTTGATTAATAACATTTAATTTAACCATTAAAACAGAGTATAGAAAAATGAAAATGGAACAAAACCGAATTTGGAAATAAAACTTTAATAAAAATGTAATATTTGGCCATTTCTTTAGGACAGAAATGCTATAGCCACTGTAATTAAATGAATATGTAGACATCAAGACGTGTAAACTCAGAGTGAGGGTTTGCGCTTTTATTTTAAAACGGCAATGTATTCTCCTGAGTTTGCGTAGATTTATAAATGATTTACCTTACAAATATAATGAAATGGCGCATGTTACGTTCCCAGATAAACGTTATAATAAACCCAAACTCACAACAACATGCAGAGATGGAGTTTGAGACACTCCACACATGTAAATGATAACAGTTCCTGTGGAACTACTGTGAACCGAGCCGCTGTGTGACGCATGTACTTAACCTATATGCATGTAAATAATTAAAGCGCATATACTGTATTAGAACTGCATCGCATATAGTTATTTAATTAAATCGTAATGTTTGCGAATTCACAATTATGCTTAATTATGATATTTAAATGGGTGTAATATATCATGCTGCTTTGGGAAACAGTCTAATAATGTGTTTTATGAATTCTCGTCCGTGAAATGCGCCACTTCCGGTATTTTGCCGATTAGTCGACGCAAGCAAAATGAAGTCGAGGGTTTTTTAAAATCGAATAGTCTAATAAAATCGACGAATCGCGACAGCTCTAGATCCACCGCCGTTTCTGAAGAGTTATTGTTTTATAGCAACTGAAGAAAGTGTAGCACACGTATGATGTGGTTGTGTTCTCATATGCTGTACAAAATCTGTTGGACAGTAGTTTTAATTAGTTGTGTCTAGTTATTAGGGATGTAACGATTAACCGCGAGCCGGTTAAAAATCGATTCAAATATGTGACAATTCAAATCGGTTGAGATGCTAAACAAATCGCGATTCATTTAGGTGTAGGAGTTTATATGAATGTATGTCTGAGGGGAAGTAACTGTCCTTAGAAAAGTTTAGATGGTATTTTTTATTTTCATCTTGCTTATGTATAATGCATATTAAAGTTCATAAGTGCAGCACTGCTTTGTTTACAGCAGAAACCAAGGAAACGCTTTAAGCGCCACCTGCTGGCAGAGAGTGAATCTGCGTCTCATTCAGCTCATCCGCTGTTTCATGCAGATATTTTTATGTATAGTTTCATAAAACTGAAGTCAAACCATTCTGTTTTTGCTTCAAATTTCAAAATTATACAATCTAATTTAGATTTAAAAACTGCTCATTTTGCATGTATGGAGCATCTTTGTTTGGATCATGATTAAAATGCAGTGGCTGCCTCTAATTTTAAATGGAAAGAGCACAGACAAAGCCTTATTTTTTTATATGAAGAGATTTATTTTATTTGTGTTATTTATTTGATTTGGGGCTTGTTTTAAAATTTCAATGTAGTTTTGTTATTTACATTTACATTATATTTAAATTTTGTCATTTAGCAGACGCTTTTGTCCAAAGCGACTTACAAATAAGGACAATAGAAGCAATCAAAACCAACAAAAGAGCAGTAATATGCAAGTGCTATATTAGTATATTATTATAGTGTTATATTTCAATTTCACAAAGAAATGTATAGCATTTTGTCCAAGCAATAATAAAAGGACACATTTAATTTATAATTTGTCTTAAATCTCATTTTGTTAAAAAAATAAAATAAATCGTGAATCGAATCGAGTATTCAAAATCATGAATCGAATCGTGAGTTGAGTGAATCGTTACTTCCCTACTAGTTATGTCTCAGTTTACAAGTGTTTTATTTATTTGTTTGACAGGAATAATGTATATAGTAAGTACTTTTCATGTAGCATACATGAAATACATGAAATTTTATTATTACTACCAGATATAACTTTTTGAATTGGTGCTCTGAGATTGTATTAACTTGTTGAACCCCATTGCTGTTTGTTTTGTTAAATTGTTAGCATTGTTGGATAAAGAGATGGTCATGAATGGTTATGTAACATGCATTTTGATCTGTTTATTTGTGTTGATTTTTTTGCCAGGTGGATTTGATGAGAAATATTAGCACTATTCCGCAGCCTTTTCTGTACACCAGACATGTTCACTTTCTCAATTTCACAAGGTAAGCAAATCAGGAATTATTTATCTGAATGTATCTGATTAATCCAAGATAAAAATGCAGCCAAACATTGGTGAACAATTCAGTGCTTATCCTCTTTGTCTCTTTCTTTCTCAGATTTAGGATAGAACAGCCTGTCTACATAAACATCATCAGGGATCCCATTAACCGTTTCCTCTCCAATTACTTTTTTCGTCGTTTTGGGGACTGGAGAGGAGAGCAGAATCACTTGATCCGCACACCCCAGATGAAAGATGACGAGAGATATCTGGTCAGAGGCTGTTTCTAAATCTCTCCCTTTTTTCCAAATTCCTGTTTCTTTATTATTTTCTGACATTTTTGCTTGTGTTTCAATATTGGATTCATATAGGGATGCAGCAGTTCTCAGTGTAGTGAGCCCTCAGTCAGCACAGGTCCAAACATAAACATTTGAATGCTGATGTGAAGGACAGACTGTAGTTCAGTGTGCTGCAACCAAGCATAAGACTAGTAATTTACCTATTCAAACATATATGAGCTGTACGTATATGCATACAAGTTTACATAGCAAATAGCAGAGTGACCATTAAGTGACTTGACTTGGGGACTGTATTTCCTGTTGAGAATGAATTTATTGCACAATGATTGTTTGTGAGAGAAAGTGTAAGAGTCTGGTTTTATGTTTGGAAATTAGCTCAGACAATGTGAGCAGAATGTTCAGGAATTGATTAGTCATGCTTGCTTTTATTCAGTCAAATCAATTACATTGCTAAACGCTCTCTGATTTGGATTTGGGGGGGAAAAAAACAGCATGGATGCTGAAAGTCAAGACAATCACAAGAAAACTTGGCACTGCTGGAAGAATTACATCAGTCGACTAAGGATTGTGACAGAATTATGGCTCATACCTGGTATTCATAAAACACAGCACAACACATGGCCAGTTTCCCAGACATATTAATCTGGAACATTAACTGGGACTTTTTTCTTTAGGTTACTAGTTAATTTAGTCCAGGCCACTTTCTCTGTTAACTCATCCTTTGCTCTGTTTAAGAAGGTGAGATTTATGAATATTTCTAGTAGGGGTCAAGGTTTGGTTAGTTAGCTTGATTTAGTTAGCCTCTGCTGGCAGGTGGTGTTACTATAGCATCTTGTTATCTGGTTAAGCAGCTTTCTCTATTGACGGACAATCAATAATATTTTATATATATAGCCTATATATATAGAGAAGAGAGAGATATATATATATTTTTTTAGGTATTTATGTATATACTCTTTTAAAAATTTGGGGTCAGCAAGATTATTTTGAAAGAAATATATACTTTTATTCAACAGGAATGCATAAAATTGATCAATTTAAAAAGTGATTAAATTTGAAATACATTGATAATGATACAAAAGATTTATATTTCAAGTAACTGCTATTTTGTGAACTTTATATTCATCAAATATTTCATGGTTTTTACAAAAATATTAAGCAGCACAACTGATTCACAACTGATCAAAGCTTATAATAATAAGAAATGTTTCTCAAACAGTAAATCATCATATTAGAATGATTTCTGAAGTGTCATGTGGCACTTAAGACCGGCGTAATGATGTTGAAAATGCAGCTTTGTGAGCATCTTTATGATTTGTAATCTTAAAGGAACACACACGACACAGTCCAAAATAACACACAGTAGCAGTTCTATTACGATGGGAATTGAACTTATCTTAGTTAATGAGAGACTACAGTAATTATAATCAGAACTTCACCATATATAATGCAACCTCCTCTTAAGATCCCCTCTCCTCCTGGAGGCCTGGTTAACCACATCTCGGATTTCTATAGTTTAGGATTACTGTGGCTTGTGATCTATCTCACACTAAACATATCTGTTTGCTTGATTATGTGTCTGTAATAGCTGGGCCCTTTGTCAGACCTGAGCCTTCAGATGGTATGCTACTGAAGTTTCATTTTTGATCTTTCCTTTTGAATTTAATTTAATTATTATAATCTGTGACGTACTGGGGAATTCCCCACAATCTGCATGGATGTGCACACCCACACATACTCAAAGCTCTAGAATAACTGGAGATTGCGAAGTCATCCTATTAATTTGAAGCGTGTGAAGGGAGTTTCTAAAGTGTTAGTTAGAGCATTAGAGCATGTCCATGTATATGGGGTCGGGGACTTTCTCAACTAGTGTGATTGCAATTTTACAAGCTGGTTTCCTTTCAATGCTTAAAGTGTGTTTGTGTGTATAAGTGTTGCGTGGTTGATGGGTCAGTGGCCCAGTCTCATCCGACCCTTAGATGTGAAAAACACACACATATACAGAGAGAGAGATTTGAATACATTTGATATCATGATCTTAAAAACCTTTATATTTCAGGTCTTCTGCTTAAAATGAAAAGGAACACTGCTGTTCAAAATAAGCCTTTAATGCTACATTTATTTATTACAAAGGCTACATTTATTTAATCAAAAGTGCAGTTACAACAGCAATATTGTGAAATATTATTAGAATTAGTGAAACATTTTTTTGTGTATTTTAAAATGTAATTTATTCCTGTGATGGTAAAGATGACTTTTCAGCAGCCATTACTACAGTCACATGATCCCACAGAATCATTCTAATATTCTCATTTGGTGCTCAAGAAACATTTATTATTATCATCATTGTTGAAAACAGTTGTGCTGCCTAATATTTTTGTGGGAACCATGGAAACATTTTGTTCAGGATTCTTTGAAGAATAGAAAGTTCAGAAGATCAACATTTATATGAAATGGAAATCTTTTGCAACATTATAAATGTCTTTACTGTCACTTTAGATCAGTCTGATGTGTCCTTGCACCCGCTTTTTGTGTGAGGTGTGCTGGCAGACCTTCAAAGCTGTAGGACTGTACTGCCCATGTTTACTAATGACTGAAACACACACGTACCATGTGTGTGTGTGTGTACTGTGTACATGCATAGCCAGGAAATTGCCCCTATTAGTGGAACTCATCCAGGTTCTCAGTTCTGTGGCAGACTGACTTCTTGTCTCCTGTCGTGTCCTATCGTCTCATCTTGTCTCCAAATGTCTCGTCTCACTTCTGCTTTGCTCAAACAGTGGTCTGTCAAAAATTATGTATGCAATACCCATTATTTATTGTTTGAATTCTTCTTTTTTGTAGTTTTTTTCTAGACAGAATACACAAAAATGCTTCTTTTCACATCAGGCAAAGAGCATGTTGCGTGGTGACGTCCATCTGGAGGTAGTTTAGGGGTAAATTGCGATGGCTGTGTTCCTAGGTGCTTAGTGAAATGGCCACCTTGGGACTGAATCAAAAACACAAGGCCAAATAAGTGTGTCACCTGAGCTGAAGTGGGTCCTCTTAGAGAGAGAGAAAGAGACTGTGTGTGAAAGACTGCCCGCTTTTACTGCTCGGGACATTTGCCAGAAGCACACTAGCCATTTGCTGTAACTTTATAAGTAATTTCATATATACAAACAGACTTTCTTTTTATACTCTCCTCTTTTCTCCTCTCCACCAAACAGTATCTTCCTCCTCATTGAATTTGCTTTTAATTGTTGGTTTTGAAAGTCTGGCACAGCTTTAAGGCATCATTATCTCTTCAGGGATTGAGTAGGTTGTTCTCTAAGTTGCTGTGTAATTGGTGATCTGTCATTTCTGTTCCTTTTGTTCTCTGCAGACATTTGCCCTTTTGGCCATCTGTCTTTCTGTACTTAAATCCTTTCCCTTTTTATATTCCAAAAAGTCAACGGAAGCCCAAATGGAACATAACCTGTTTGATTTTCAACAATAGCATGTGTGCGTTCAAAGTGCATATCCGTCAGAGTTTGTATGTGTCTCTGTTGGGGCGGAGTGGGGATGCGGATGAAAGGACATTGATGCGCTCTTGGCTTTTCGGCTCTATTCAGATACACACAGAGTGAGTATTGTTAAAGGAGCTGGCCCTCCTGGAGCTCCACTGCTTTGAAGGAATCGCCAATGCATTAGCTTGATATTGTCAACAAATGAACACGTTCATAGTACAGCAAAAGCAAGTTAAACACAGCAATCTGCTCTCTTTGCTCTCGTTCACAACCACAATTAAAGGGTTAGTTCACCCAAAAAGGAAAATTAGCCTGTGATGTACTCAACCTCGAGGCATCCTAGGTGTATATGACTTCCAATCTTAGTTATATTAAAAATTGTCCTGGCCCCTCCAAGCCTTACAATTGGGGGTAAGTGGGTGCTTTTTGTCAACAGTCTAGAAGACGTGAAATAAAGTGCGCGCATCTGTAATAAAGTGTGCCTCACACGGCTCCGGGGGGTGAATAAGGGCCTCCTGTAGCGAATCCATGCATTTTTGTAACGTAATAAACACTTTTTTTTCTCACTTCCACTGACTGTCATACATGCAAGTTATTCCGGCAGATGACGTAGGACGTATACGCAGCGCGCGCCTCTGAGATATGCTAGTCTCGCAAGTTTGTTTACAGGAACAAATAAAAGCAAAGTTTCCTTACTTTAGCAAAGGAAAACCAGTCTCTTCTTGGTTTATATCGAAGTCCTCTGACATTTTTCTTTACAAATCCTAATTTTGTGCTTTTAATTCGTGACCGGCGTTTTGTTTTGTTCTCTCTCCACATTCGTCACTAATCACGCAACGCGGACATCCTACGTCATCCACCGGAACGACTTTCGCATACGAAAGATAGCGGAAGTGATAGAAAAGTGTTTATTACGTTTGAAATATGGATGTTTATCTTACAAATAAATGCATGGATTCGCTACAGGAGGCCTTTATTCACCCCCTGGAGGGACATCCTACGTCATCCACCGGAACGACTTTCGCATACGAAAGATAGCGGAAGTGATAGAAAAGTGTTTATTACGTTTGAAATATGGATGTTTATCTTACAAATAAATGCATGGATTCGCTACAGGAGGCCTTTATTCACCCCCTGGAGCCGTGTGAGACACGTTTTATTACGGATGCGTGCACTTTATTTCATCTCTTCTGGACTGTTGACAAAAAGCACCCACTTAACCCCATTGTAAGGCTTGGAGGGGCCAGGACAATTTTTTATATAACTCTGATTGGATTCGTCTGAAAGAAGAAAGTCATATACACCTAGGATGCTTTGAGGGTGACTAAAACACAAGCTAATTTTCATTTTTGGGTGAACTAACCCTTTAAGGTTTGGTGAAGGAAAAAGTAAGATAGGGTAGAGAAATCAGATGAAGTTGGATAAAGAATTCCCCAGAATGCTGTGCATTTAGGTCTAATTGAATGTGAAAAGTAAATGTCTTGGAATACTGTCCTATCTACAGATAATAAATGTTTTTAAGCAAACATCTCAATCCATACATATGTCTTCATATGGTAATTACGGTACCTATTTTTAGAATTTTTATTTATTTATTTTTGTTCAAGAACTGGTCATATTTACCCCCAAAATCATAAGAAAGTTATATTTATATGTTATATATTATGTTAGATATATTCAATATTATATATTGAAATTAAATATGAAGCCCATTTTATAACCATGACACATTTTTGAATTGTGTTTTGAATTATTTGACAATTAAGAGAATAAATAGAATATTAAAACATATTGCAATTAATAGTTTTTTTTTAAAATCAATGAATTGTAAAATGTCATCATTTACTCATCCTTATGTGGTTGAGTAAATGATGGCAGAATTTTCATTTTCGGATGGACTATTCCTTTAAGATCTTGTGCTGTATTAACAAATAAATGTTTTTAAAATCTCTTCGGTTAAGCAAGCTGAAATCTTTGTATGTTTTCTTGTCAAATAATTGGCTGGGTTTTTTTTTGGTCTACCTCAGGGAGCCGGGTGTTTGGGCTGTGGAGAGGGCCAAACAAAACGTTATAGAGAACTTCTTACTTGTGGGAATTCTGGAAGAGTTGGAGGATGTGTTGCTCCTTCTGGAGAGACTCCTACCTCACTACTTCAGTGATGTCCTAACCATCTACAAGAGTCCAGGTGTGTTTTATTCAATTACTTTGAAATCTTGTGGGAAATTAAATGAAAATAAATAAATGTGAATGCAAATATGAATACAAATGAATGAGCATGCAGAGATTGGGATAAAGAAAAATAATTAAAACACTCTTTGATTATCTTCTGGAAACATTTTGTAAACTCATTTTGCACATCAACTTTAAAACAATAATAAGTGAAGCATGTTCCAAATGATTTTTAGCTGTCTTGAATTGTACACTGTAGCTTTGTCTGTGGCTCATAGTTTTGTAAATCTGCAGCATTTTGGAAGATGGGGAACCTTACAGGCACAGTGAAGAAGCACATGCCTACTCTAGAGGGCCTACAGGTGCTTTACCAAAGGATGAAGTATGAGTATGACTTTTACAACTTCATTCGTGACCAGTTCCATCTCACCAAGAAGAAGATCGGCCTCAAGTCCACCTCCCAGAACTCTGCTCATGAACCTCACTTTCTCCGTGAGCTTGCCCTCAGGACCCATGAGCCTTTGGAGGAGGAGGAGGAAGAGGAGGAAGAAGAGGACGTGGGGCAAGAAGATGCCAACATCTGGTTGGTTCAGCCCTGACTAATAGCCATGGAGGTGTAGGCATGGCAGATATCTCATAAGCTTGATGTCTATGTCCAGTCAGGAGGTAGAGTCAAAAGTCCCAGGTTAAAATTGGGTGTGTAACCCCTGTTTTTAACGGGATGGCCCTTCAAGACACTCTCAAGAGGAGAAGGGGGTCACAGAAGCGTCTGAATAATTGTTTCACACTGTAGCTTTCTCTGTGGCTCATAGTTTTGTAAATCTGCAGCATTTTGGAAGATGGGGAACCTTACAGGCACAGTGAAGAAGCACATGCCTACTCTAGAGGGCCTACAGGTGCTTTACCAAAGGATGAAGTATGAGTATGACTTTTACAACTTCATTCATGACCAGTTCCATCTCACCAAGAAGAAGATCGGCCTCAAGTCCACCTCCCAGAACTCTGCTCATGAACCTCACTTTCTTCGTGAGCTTGCCCTCAGGACCCATGAGCCTTTGGAGGAGGAGGAGGAAGAGGAGGAAGAAGAGGACGTGGGGCAAGAAGATGCCAACATCTGGTTGGTTCAGCCCTGAGTAATAGCCATGGAGGTGTAGGCATGGCAGATATCTCATAAGCTTGATGTCTATGTCCAGTCAGGAGGTAGAGTCAAAAGTCCCAGGTTAAAATTGGGTGTGTAACCCCTGTTTTTAACGGGATGGCCCTTCAAGACACTCTCAAGAGGAGAAGGGGGTCACAGAAGCGTCTGAATAATTGTTTAAGGAACCAACAATTGTGGCAAAAGGATTTTGTTCATGTTTATGAAATTGAGTTGGTTATGGTCATTTCCTGGTGAGATGATTCAAGATTGGAATTACAGGGATATTGCTGGATTGTCAGGATGGAGGGATGAACTAATTGTGGTATAGCAGAATGAGATACTGTGGAAGTCTGATTTTAGGCACTACTTCTGTACACTTGGTACCCGGGTGATCCCAGACTCACACATCAACACACACTTTCACACATGAAAACATTCAGACTATGTTAAATTTAATATACTTTCCAGAAGACCAACAATTCACTAAAAATGTTTTTTTTTTACTGGTCTTATGAAGTATTCTAATTTGTTGAATTGGTGGGTTTTTGTTAAATGTGAGCCAAAATCATCACAATTAAAAGAACCAAAGACTTAAACTACTTCAGTCTGTGTGCATTGAATTTATTTAATACACGAGTTTAACAATTTGAGTTGAATTACTGAAATAAATGAACTTTTCCACGACATTCTAATTTATTGAGATGCACCTGTGTATACATGTGTATATAAATATCTCCATAAGGTTTCCGTAGTGTTTTAATTGAAGAATGGTTCCCTTGCATTGTTTACAGGTCAGCTTGATGGGACGTTTTTGTTGAACTATGCTGGTAAAGTGAAATGAATGATTAATTCATGACTAAATAGATGCTATAGCTACAAGCTCTCACAGAACTGAACACTTAGTTTAAACTTGCCAGTTAAGTGTATAGGTGTATGTACTTGTTTTGTGGATTTTTATATTGTTTAATTTATTGTACAGTATTAATACTTTTGATGATTGCATTCCATGTACAAATCTCAGGAAAAAAAGAGCAGGTATATATTTTGTGACATCTAACAGCTGGCAAATATTAAAGCATCTGATACTTAAATGTTACTTAAGGACAGCTGGAAGTGACTCTTTTGGATACCAAAACTGAATGAAATGGCTAACATTAAGAATTAACTGCACCTTTACTGGGAAAGCTCTCAAAATAAAAGCATTTTTACAGCAGTTGTTGTTGTTTGTAGAACCTTTTTATATTTTCTTATATATTTCTTATATACTTATATATTATGGTTACAAAATGTTGTCTTATTTTATGGTAACAGAATTATTTACATTGTTTTAATAACGTCATTTTTATGGCAGTTTAAAACCCCAATATTTATATTAGTTATTTTACTATTGATTTCAAACAAGGTGTTTCGTTCGTGAGTCCATTCAAAGCATAATAAGAACATCTCTAGAATCATTGTTCATTAATTTACAGTAGCCTATTTCATATACTGAAGCGCGTGACTGTTTTCCCGCCTCCAAAAGACTGACAAGCCCGAGCAAATAGTATTCTAGTGTTGGCTGTGAGTGCGCATGAACCTTTCGGGACGTCACGGAACAAGCGAGCGAAATATAATAAAAGTCACATGCTAGCACCTGACTAAATAATAAAAAAGCTATATGTGCTGCTTGATGCTTTGATTTGAGTGAGTGAATGATTCAATGATTCCCTCATAATAAGTTTACTTGTCACCACCTACTGGCGTAATGATGCATAACTTGCATAAATTAATCTATTTGGTGAACTGATTCAAAAGTATCGAGTCACTAAGATGAATCAAAATCACTGCCAGTAATAAACACGCCTGTGTGGCCTTCTTATTTGAGAAATGGCAGGATAAAATCATTTTTTGGACACTTACGAAGCATCCTAGAGAAACTGGGGAATACTTGCAAAGGCCTGATGCCGTAATCAATTTAGGAGTCAAACTGTCCTTCCAGATCCTGTCAGTTTGGATAAACATGAAGGGCTTTTGATCACTCAAAGTGAAGGTAAGCAACAGAATAGCTCTTCTTCATAATTTAAATGTCTAAATCTTTTCTGATTACACCAGCTGTGTGTGTGTGTGTACTGGTTTATATATCCTGGTGGGGACTCAAACCTGACTACACACAGACTCATGGGGACTCGTGTCACGGTGGGGACCTAAATTGTGGTCTCCACGGGTACAAAAGCTTATAAACCATACAGAATTAAGTTTTTTGAAAATCTAAAAATGCAGAAAGTTTCCTTTTAGGGGTAGGGTTGGTGTAGGGCAATAGAATATACGGTCTGTACAGTATAACAAGCATTACGCCTATGGAGAGTCCCCACAAGGATAGCTGACCAGACGTGTGTGTGTGTGTGTGTGTGACTCAAAATGACGAGGTAGAAGATATCACGAGTATATTGATATGAAATAAGCAGTAAATATAAGAACAGGAACAGACAGTAAATAAGAACTGCTGCTACAACCTGCTACGCACAGTACATACAATGTAGTAGCGTAGTTCATGCTGTTGTGGATGTTGTTTTGCTGTTTACAGCTTTCAGTGCTGTGTGTGACAAGTCTCAAGACATCTAACGTTATTTCAGTGATGTCTGTAAGGTGTTAGGGATATTATTTTCTGTGCGCTATTACATAAAACTGCCTGTAGCGTTTTTTTTAAAATCAAGTAGAGTGTGCTAATGCCTCTGAGTCTGGCCATATTGTCCTTTGGGTTGAGATGTGGTGATGGTGCTGCTTGACATCTGGGTAGTTGACATAACATTTCAGCCGTGTCAGTATTGTGACATGCTACAGTATACTTCATCTAATACTGTTTCAAAACATTTTTATCATTTTAATTTCTGTATGCCATACATGCAGTTTTTATGGACTGATACCACAGAAGTATTTACATACAAAGAATCATTTTTTAATAATAAAAGAAAAATGCATCTTGAATGTTAATGAAAGTTAATTGACATTTGTCATAAACAACCTTTTATTTGTCAGTGAACTATATGCAAAAGATAAGCAGATGCTCTAAAAAGTTTTACAAACACTGTTTGCATGGATGTACTGTAGGAAACCAAGGTGTATTTCCCCAAGTTCAACAGAAGTGGGAGCCCTTGCTTCAGGAACCCCCCAGCTGTAATGGTTTCCATAGGGCTTTGCTGCTAGTTTAGCTGCATGATCATTTCCATGGCATGTAAACAGAATGTTTTTGCTGCTAAGTTTCAGTTGTTGTATTTTCTGTTACATTCAATAATTGCCTTAATTATAAAATTAAAGTACTAAGTACACAACAAACACACACAACCTTAAGTTGTCTTAATCTCACGTTTTAGTCCTGGTGAGTGTTTAAGGTATCATTTAGATTGGTTTGATCTCTGTCTCTAAGGTTTGTCCTGAAATAGGTGTCTGTGTTTGCATCAGTTAGGGCATGTGTATTTGTGCTTAGCTGGGTATCAAAGCAGGGTCAAAGTGCAGTGTCCAGCTGGCCCTGTCCACGAGGGATCATTTCTATTTGTGTTCTATTTGTGCCAGCACTGATAACCCAAACCTCACATGCAAAAGTAGGGTACAACATGTCCCCCTGGCAGTTTTTAAAAAGTTTTTCAATAGCTTTCGAGTAAGTGGAATGATAATATTTGCATAAAAAAAGCTCAGTTTTTACTCCTGTAAAAATCACTGTTGGGTACAGTGGGCAGAAGAAGGGAATGCAGAATGTCTGTACCATAATAAATGAGTGGGTGAATTTGTTGTGTAGGATGTGTAAAGTAGGCCTGCTTGGACTTTTCTAATCACAATGGACATTAATTTGTGAAATATGCTTGTGCTGACAATAGTACTCCAATATACACAAAAACAAAAAGGTGTTAATGTGAATTTGTCCAGTAGGGGCCATAAGTAAATGAATAACACACAAAATGTACTTTTTGTACAATGAGAACCTCTGACTGCAACAATAGACTGTTAGGCTATTTATTTATGAATTTTTTTAGTAAGGGCTGGCAGTGTACATCTTGTCCTGGGCCTCCTCCCCTCTGTCACAGCGAATGAGAGACGCCTGCCTTACGCCACACTAACCTGAAAAATATTTCCCACCTTTTCCATGAGTAGTTCTTTCTTCTCATTAGAGAATGAAAGGCGAACAGCACAGGAAAAGGACATTTAGTACCTACTTAAATCACCGATATTTATAGCCACTGTAATTATTTTAATGAAACAGGTCTAATTTATACATGATGTCATATTTATTAATATATGACATTCTTTAGACAAACATGTTGCTATGACAACTGCACATGACTACAGCAAGAATCTACTATCCCTGCTTATTTGGTCCAAAAACACAATAAATTCATAAGCTTGAGGAAAATTGTAAATGCACTAATTATAATGTCTATGAAGAGAAAAATAGCTGTATTACAAAAAATCAAGACTTTACAAGCATTTTAAGTAGATGATACTATTTTGAACTCTGCATTACATTCCTCATGTCATGTAAAGTGAGGTAAAATACAGGACAATAAGATAAAAATAATGACACATTAAATAACAAAATAATACGAAAGCACCCAGAATAAAGAAGTTCTGAAGTATTATAAAGTA